GAAAATGTACATATGTATTTTTTTGTATATACTTAAAGATAATTTGTTGTTAAAACAGATTTTGGGTGCAGTCGGAGGAAAAGGAGATCCTGTACGCCAAAGACCAGTGGTCAGTAGGTACGGCACCATGTCTACAAAAATGATAAGGTATGTCTGATAAGACATGTCATTACTAGAATGAGTTGAATCTTTGTAGGATGGACGAAAAAGGAATAATGCTACATCCGGTAGAAAAAATTAGTGTAGATGCTCCGAAATAACACTCTTTTAAGGGGGGAGGAGTGTTACGATATATCGTATCGTGTTACTTCATCGCATAAAGGCACGATTATTTAAGTCATACGTTCATTATTGCAGGAACAATGAGGTTAACAACCATGGAGGTCGTTAACTGTCAGCACGGTATGGCTCGTCCGGTGGCGGGAATTTCTGTTAGCCAATCAGAACCACCGGGCGAGGTAACGTGTGCTGGCCGGAGCATGTGGAGAGACAGACATCTACTCCCCTCCATTTGAGTCAACAGGCTGTCGTCGCGTTTGGATGTGTGACCAACGGACCCAACTGTTAGTGTGCTCCACCCTCATGAAGGAAGAGGACCTCGAGGCATGGTCGACGTTCTTGAAAGTTATGGAAGATAACAGCTTTGAGATTTAGAGGTCGGCGTGGAGGTAACGCGCTGATTTTCCTGATAGCGGTACAAATTGCAGGAAAGTAGATGATTTATAAGTGGGAAGATCAATCGGACAAGAGACGACCGTAGCATGGTCGTAGTATCTCTCTCTATATATATATATTTAACTGTACTTGTGTACAATGCACACATATATATATACATGTAAAATATTGTATATAAGGTGATTAGATATATATCACAATATATCCATGATGAAGTTTTATACCATCTTATTTTCTTGTCCTTTGTCAGACCTCAGCACAAAGTGTGTCGCACCTGACAGCAGGTCCGGCTGAGGCTGACACCTGTTCAGATTCATGTACCCCGTTGTAGTACAACGAAGCATTAGGATAAACATTCAGAATAAACCTAAATTAAATGTGTTGGGTTGTCAACAGTTCGATCCCAACAGTCCCCTCCAGTCCTCTCTCTACTGGCAGGGGATTGGTGTTGGATCTGTAGCTCCAGCCTCCATCTACTGGCAGGGGGGTAGTACTGGACCTGTAGCTTGAGCCTCCCTCTACTGGCAGGGGGTTGGTGTTGGACCTGTAGCTCCAGACCCCCCCCCCCCCTCTACTGGGAGGGGGAAGGTGTTGGATCTGTAGCTCCAGCCCCCCTCTACTTGATGCTAGGCAAGGAAGTGAATGAGATGTATGGCAAGTTTTGTGAAATATATGATAAAGGCACAAAAAAATTTATACCAAAACAGAGATGCAGAACTAGGAAACAGGATTGGTTCAATAGAAATTGCGAGAGGGCTAGAGACCGAAAGACACAAAAATGGAATCAATACAGGAAGAGGCCGAACCCCCAAACATACCAGCGATACAAAGATGCGAGAAACAACTACACGGCAGTGAGGAGAGAGGCAGAAAGAAATTTTGAAAAAGGGATTGCGGACAAATGTAAAACAGAACCAGGTCTATTCTATAAATTCATAAACAACAAATTGCAGGTAAAGGATAATATTCAGAGGTTGAAAATGGGAAATAGATTCACGGAAGATGAAAAGGAAATGTGTGAAACACTAAACGAAAAGTTCCAAAGTGTGTTTGTACAAAATGAAATCTTTAGGGAACCAGATACAATAAGAATTCCAGAGAACAACATAGAACACATAGAGGTGTCTAGAGACGAAGTGGAAAAAATGCTCAAGGAGCTCGGTAAGAACAAAGCAGCTGGCCCAGATGGCGTTTCACCATGGGTTCTGAGAGAATGTGCATCTGAGCTCAGCATTCCACTTCACCTGATCTTTCAGGCATCCCTGTGTACAGGAATCGTAGCAGACGGGTGGAAACAGGCTAACATAGTTCCAATCTACAAAAGTGGCAGCAGGGAAGACCCCCTCAATTATAGACCTGTATCATTGACAAGTGTAATAGTGAAAGTATTGGAAAAACTAATCAAAACTAAATGGGTAGAACACCTAGAGAGAAATGATATAATATCAGACAGACAGTATGGTTTTCGATCTGGAAGATCCTGTGTATCGAATTTACTCAGTTTTTATGATCGAGCCACAGAGATATTACAGGAAAGAGATGGTTGGGTTGACTGCATCTATCTGGACCTAAAAAAGGCTTTCGACAGAGTTCCACATAAGAGGTTGTTCTGGAAACTGGAAAATATTGGAGGGGTGACAGGTAAGCTTCTATCATGGATGAAAAATTTTCTGACTGATAGAAAAAAGAGGGCAGTAATCAGAGGCAATGTATCGGAATGGAGAAATGTCACAAGTGGAGTACCACAGGGTTCAGTTCTTGCACCAGTGATGTTTATTGTGTACATAAATGATCTACCAGTTGGTATACAGAATTATATGAACATGTTTGCTGATGATGCTAAGATAATAGGAAGGATAAGAAATTTAGATGACTGTCATGCCCTTCAAGAAGACCTGGACAAAATAAGTATATGGAGCACCACTTGGCAAATGGAATTTAATGTTAATAAATGTCATGTTATGGAATGTGGAATAGGAGAACATAGACCCCACACAACCTATATATTATGTGAGAAATCTTTAAAGAATTCTGATAAAGAAAGAGATCTAGGAGTGGTTCTAGATAGAAAACTATCACCTGAGGACCACATAAAGAATATTGTGCAAGGAGCCTATGCTATGCTTTCTAACTTCAGAATTGCATTTAAATACATGGATGGCGATATACTAAAGAAATTGTTCATGACTTTTGTTAGGCCAAAGCTAGAATATGCAGCTGTTGTGTGGTGCCCATATCTTAAGAAGCACATCAACAAACTGGAAAAGGTGCAAAGACATGCTACTAAGTGGCTCCCAGAACTGAAGGGCAAGAGCTACGAGGAGAGGTTAGAAGCATTAAATATGCCAAAACTAGAAGACAGAAGAAAAAGAGGTGATATGATCACTACATACAAAATAGTAACAGGAATTGATAAAATCGACAGGGAAGACTTCCTGAGACCTGGAATTTCAAGAACAAGAGGTCACAGATTTAAACTAGCTAAACACAGATGCCGAAGAAATATAAGAAAATTCACCTTCGCAAATAGAGTGGTAGACGGTTGGAACAAGTTAAGTGAGAAGGTGGTGGAGGCCAAGACCGTCAGTAGTTTCAAAGCGTTATATGACAAAGAGTGCTGGGAAGACGGGACACCACGAGCGTAGCTCTCATCCTGTAACTACACTTAGGTAATAAAACACTTAGGTAATTACTGGCAGAAGGATGGTGCTGAACCTGTAGCTCCAGCCCCCCTCTACTGGCAGGGGGTTAGAGCTGGACCTGTAGCTCCAGTTCTCCTCTACTGGCAGGGGGTTAGAGCTGGACCTGTAGCTCCAGTTCTCCTCTACTGGCAGGGGGTTGGTGCTGGACCTGTAGCTCCAGTTCTCCTCTACTGGCAGGGGGTTAGAGCTGGACCTGTAGCTCCAGTTCTCCTCTACTGGCAGGGGGTTAGAGCTGGACCTGTAGCTCCAGTTCTCCTCTACTGGCAGGGGGTTAGTGCTGGACCTGTAGCTCCAGTTCTCCTCTTCTGGCAGGGGGTTGGTGCTGGACCTGTAGCTCCAGCCACCCTCTACTGGCAGAGGGTTGGTGCTGGACCTGTAGCTCCAGCTCCCCCTCTACTGGCAGGCGTTTGGTGTTGGACCTGTAGCTCTAGCATCCCCCCCTCCCCCTCTACTGGCAAGGGGTTGGTGCTGGACCTGCTGCTCCAGCCACCCTCTATGGGCTTGAGGTTGGTGCTGAACCTTTAGCTTCAGCCCCCTCTACTGGCAGGGGGGTTGGTGCTGGACCTGTAGCTCCAGTCCCCCTCTACTAGCAGGGGGTTGGTGCTGGACCTGTTGCTCCAGCTCTCCTCTACTGGCAGGGGGTTGGTGTTGGACCTGTAGCTCCAGCCCCCCGTCTACTGGCAGGGGGTTGGTTTTGGACCTGTAGCTCCAGACCCCCTCTACTGGCAAGGAGTTGGTGCTGGACCTGTAGCTCCTGGCCCCCTCTACTGGCAGGGGGTGTGTGCTGGACTTGTAGCTCCAGCCCCCACTTTACTGGCAGGGATGGGGGAAGGGGGGGTGTGCTGGACCTGTAGCTCCAGCCTCGCCTCTACTGGCAGGGGGTTGATGCTGGACCTGTAGCTCCAGCCTCCCTCTACTGGCAGGGGGTTGGTGCTGGACCTGTAGCTCCAGCCCCCGTCTACTGGCAGGGGGGTTGGTGCTGGACCTGTAGCTCCAGCTCACTCCCCCTCTACTGGCAGGGGATGGTGTTGGACCTGTAGCTCCAGCCCCCTTCTACTGGCAGGGGGGGGGGGGGGGGTTGGTGTTGGACCTGTTGCTCCAGCCCCTCTCTTCTTGCAGGGGGTTGGTGTTGGACCTGTTGCTCCAGCCCCCCTCTACTGGGAGGGGGGTTGATGCTGGACTTGTAGGGTCGGACCTCCTCTACTGGCAGGGGGGGTTGGTGTTGGCACTGTTTGAGAGTTTGTTGGCAGTTTCAAAGGAGTCATTTTCTTCGAACCCAGCAGTGGTCCGTTTTGGTTTGCTGTCTTTCCCGGTAGTTTGGTAGAATGTCTCCGTCACTCTGCGCCTCTGTGAGGGTGCCAGGATCCCGGGTTCAATAGAGGATCACAGGTTCAGTCACCGGGCAGAACAGAAATCGTTCACATGTTTCCTTTCACCTGTTGCCGCTGTTCTCCTAGCAGAAAATTTTTATCCAGAAGTTAGGCAACTATTGTGGACTGTATGTTAAGGAAAGTCAGAAGTTGACCTTGGGGAACCTCAATAAACCTAAGAACCGGCTTCCTGTCCTCAAAACAGTACTCGATATCTTGTGATATGACCTATGAGAGAAAATAAAAAACTTACCGTTAATTGCTTGTGGGGGATTTCTCTAGCGAGTTCCTGAACTTTATTCATGATACTGGAGACTGAGTCTCCCAGGTGTACGGGGTCAGCTGTGGCACCAGTCTCCATGGTCATCATCTCCAGGACCTCCCTGATGGTCTCCTGCACCTGTCATTACCAACACAAACATTAATGGTGGAACCTGGACTATAATGAAGCATCAGGCACTGAGTAAAGTTGCTGGACTATAATGAAGCATCAGGCCCTGAGTAAAGTAACTGGACTATAATGAAGCATCAGGCCCTGAGTAAAGTAACTGGACTATAATGAAGCATCAGGCTCTGAGTAAAGTAACTGGACTACAATGAGGCATCAGGCTCTGAGTAAAGTAACTGGACTATAATGAAGCATCAGGCTCTGAGTAAAGTAACTGGACTATAATGAAGCATCAGGCTCTGAGTAAAGTAACTGGATTATAATGAAGCATCAGGCTCTGAAATAGAGTAATTGGTCTATAATGAAGCATCAGACTCTGAGTAGAGTAATTGTATTATAATGAAGCATCAGGCTCTGAGTAAAGTAATTTGACAATATATGTAATGTTTTTCTACACTGACCACAGTGGAGAGAAACACCAAGATGACAGTTGACATGGGTGTAGTGAGCACTGAGTACTGACCACAGTGTAGAGAGACACCAAGATGACAGTTGACATGTGTGTACTGAACACTGAGTGTTGACCACAGTGTAGAGAAACACCAAGATGACAGTTGACATGGGTGTAGTGAGCACTGAGTGCTGACCACAGTGTAGAGAAATACCAAGATGACAGTTGACATGTGTGTAGTGAGCACTGAGTGCTGACCACAGTGTAGAGAAACACCAAGATGACAGATGACATGGGTGTAGTGAACCCTGAGTGCTGACCACAGTGTAGAGAAACACCAAGATGACAGTTGACATGGGTGTAGTGAGCACTGAGTGCTGACCACAGTGTAGAGAAACACCAAGATGACAGATGACATGGGTGTAGTGAGCACTGAGTGCTGACCACAGTGTAGAGAAACACCAAGATGACAGTTGACATGTGTGTAGTGAGCACTGACCACAGTGTAGAAAAATACCAAGATGACAGTTGACTTTATTAATAAAAATGTTTTAGGTGTTAGAGCAAAAAGTTTCCTATATATAAAGTCTACTCTCATCTTGATGTGTCTCCATGTTAAAAGTGTTTATATAGAGGCAATACTACATTCAGTTGGGTGAGAACAATGTGACCTTCAGCAGTGTACCTTCACTGAGGTGTGGACAGTCTTGACATCTGGGAAGAGTTCCTGGCACTTCTGGAGCCAATTTTCAACCTCCATGTTGCATTGGTCAACTTCATTGATGGTCATGAATACTTCCTGTGCTGTGTTGACTGTGTCGAGGGTCCCCAACATGGCCTGCAGCTGAGTCTTCCCTTCCTCTCCTTGTGTTGTCATATCTACCACACTGGTATCCTTCAATTCCAAGAGCTTCACTGCTGACTTGTCCTGCTCTACCAAACCATAGAGTCTGTCCTGGAGCTGGAGGTGGTGAGTCTTCCAGTCCCCCAGCTGCCCCTTGTACTCCTTCAGCTGGGCCAGTACCTCTTCACAGCTAGTAATGAGGCAGTTGATGATGTTCTTCTGCTCCTGCACCAGGGAACGTAATTTCTTACTGATGCCTCTGGCGGGACCTTCATAAGGTTTTGCTGGCACTATTTCCTCAGTTGTTTGCTGGATATTTTTGAGTTTCCTAACTAAAGCCTCCACAGCATAGCTAATTGGGAACTGAGTAGCAACTGTGGCAGCATGCTGGGCATGGCAGCTGGGGCAGGTCAGCTGACCATTCTTGATAGCATTGTCAATACACTGGGAGCAGAATGTGTGGCCGCATGGCATTGTGCGAGGCCGTAGCTGATTGTCATCATAATCGTTAAAACACAATAAACATTCCTCTGGCTTGTTATCCTGTGGAAAAGAATATTTGGTTAGGCTAGATGTATTTACTACAATAAGTAATATTTTATAATATTAATAATAACCAGTAATAGTAACCAGTACTGCACCATATTAACCAATACAAATTACATAATATTTTCATAATTTCTTTGTACAGAGGAACCTCGGTATTTGCACTGCTCTCAATTCGCACTGCTCCCTGGCCACTGAGCAAAGCCAACTGAAGGGGTCGGCGTCGACAGGAAGTTGGACTCTCCCTGGATGTGAACTGCACAGAGAGCCAAACCCCTAGAATCCAGGAGACAAGTCACTCGAAGCAATCAGCCCTAAAGAGCCAAGGACTGAACCCCTGCGGTTCAAACAAGGAACCACCTGAGAGCAGTACAAATGGAGCCGGATCGCTGAACCCTTAGCGACCCAAACCCTCTGAAATGACTGTCAAACTGCCACAAACTCCCGCACTGTAAAGTGAGCCCAACGGAAGGGTGGAGCCCAATGCCTCTGGTTGTGATAGTGAGCCCCAGTCTTAAATTCCCAGGCGAGAGATTAGGCATCCATGAACACATCGAGCGAGGGCACAAGCAGGCGCCAAGGCACTGAACCCTGAGAAACTCTTAGAGGAAGCCGGCAACACAGCAATCAACGCAAGGCCCCCAGAGGACGAACCCAGCAGTTGCGAGAGAGGCGGAAGGGACGTTCCTAAAGGAACGAGAACAGACTCCGAAGCCAGACCCAACCCAGAGGGTAAACTAGCACTGCGAAGTTTAGAACCCGCACAGCTGCTCGAGCAGCCGCCAAGTTTCCCAGGAATCACCCAGAAATAGTTGAAGGAAGGACCACAGCCGCAGCAATGCCACCAGAGGGAGAGACATGGAAGTGGTCCGAGAGTCCCACACGAGGCCCAGACAGGTCCGAACCTGAGATGGAACCAAATGGGACTTCCTCTAGTTAACCAGGAACCCAAACCCGACAAGCTGGGAAAGAACCACACTCCTGGCGAGTAGACAAGCTGGGAGCCCACACCAACCAGTCGTCGAGGTAGGCCAGGACCCGAACCCCTAGCAAACAAAGACTGCTAGGGGTGAGTGTGGGTGTGTGTGTGCCTCACCACGACACGGGTAAGATGCGTGGAAATGCGAGGTGTCAGATTCAAGCATAAAGGAAAGCAACAAAAGTGGTAAGCTTGCTGCACAATTACCAGTGTATATTTGTTAATTACACATGACTGACAAATCATGTGTAGCTAGTTGGTCACTCCATGACCGACATGCTACAGAACCCCATTATAAAAACATATGTATCTTCACTTGAGCTTTAAATACAGTGGTACCTTCGTTTATGAATTTAATACGTTCCCAGAGATGGTTCATAACCAAAATGAATTTTCCCATAAGAAATAATAAAATTTAATTAATCTGTTCTACACACCCAAAAAAATCAGTGTTGAATGTAATGAAACGCCATTTTCTGGGTGAAACCTGGAGGCTCCCCGAGGCTATCCAGGCTGATATGTATCTATTAGTTTTCTGGCATCAGTCAAAGTGCATAGAGTTCTTGCCTACAGGGGAACACGAGCCAGGACCTGGCCCCTCCTCAGAGAGGCACGAGAAGCAATGGCTTGTAGAAACCCCCCGTGTGGTTGGGAGCATTTTTATGTCTGCCATCGACCGGGTCTGGCACCCAGAAAGGTAGGCGCCCCAAAACAAACCCCTATTCTGGTGAAAATATTGCTACCGAAAGCTGAACGAGTGGACAGAATTCCCCAAATGAAAATTAGCAAACGAGCATGACGTCATCACAATGCCACGCCACTGTCTGTGCAACCCCCACCCCCCCCATCCCTTCCCCAGGAAGGGAAAGGGGGATCTTCTTGAGGTTATCTTGAGATGATTTCGGGGCTTTAGTGTCCCCGAGGCCCGGTCCTCGACAAGGCCTCCACCCCCCAGGAAGCAGCCCGTGACAGCTGACTAACACCCAGGTACCTATTTACTGCTAGGTAACAGGGGCATCGGGTGAAAGAAACTCTGCCCATTGTTTCTCGCCGGTGCCCAGGATCGAACCCGGGACCACAGAATCACAATCCAGCGTGCTGTCCGCTCGGCCGACCGGCTCCCTCTGGGAGGGTCTGGGATCCCCAGACCCTCGTGCTGGCAATCCAACCAACAGTTATTAGGCTGGATGTCAAAAACATGTGAAAACATTACCGATCAGAGGGGAGGGAGGGATGGTGTGGAGCCTCCAGGTCTCACCCAGAAAATGGTGTTTCATTACATTCAACGCTGATTTTCTGGGGGAAGCACTGTCGGCTCCCCGGAGCTAACTACCTGGAGACCAGGAAAAATATGAGACTTACCCAGGAGGCGGTCAGTCCTGATTCCTCAACATGAAGTCGAGACAACTGGCTGCAACCGCCGACCCAATGCAACGCAGGCCCATCCAGTTCCAGGGACATTGACAAAGTAGCGAGCGGCCAGGACCTCTGTAAGACCTCCAAAAACCCTTTGCTCGAATGTCAACCCAAGACATGTTGCCAAAGACGGCACCCAAAGCAGCAAACTTATGAACGTCGTGGGGCACGAGGATAGACCGCAGGCTGGCTAAACTTAAAAACCCTGTGGACGACCTGAGAGACCCGAGCCCGGGAATAGGGAAGGAGGGATACCGGGTAACCTAAAGCGCATCCCTGGCCCCTGAAGCCGTTGTGTGCAAATAATGGTGGAGAGGGACAACCAGAGAAGACACATGATGCACCCCCAGCATGACCAACCAAGCACCAATGACCCAAGGACCCCTCTGGAAAGCAGCAGTCTCATTCTTCGCCAGAAAACAAGGAGATGGCTGCAACTGAATAAACCTACCACCAGGACCAAAGGAGCAGAAACCCCTGCACCGGAGGAGAGCATGAAGTTCCCCGACCAGACCCCCAGAGGCCAATGCCAACAGGAAAAGAGCCTTAGAAAAACAATCCTGAACCGAGGGGCCACTACAAACCGAGGAGAAAAGAGCAACGAAGGCGCATGAGCAGGTTGGAGGTGAAACAATGCATGAGACAGCTTGCAGAACGAGGCAGAAGTAACATCAATACCGAATTCAAGCTGGAGCGGCTCCGCCAAAGCCGCATGATATGAGGCGACAATTTTCGGCATAAGATGACAGTCCTGGAACAACCACGAAAGGAAGGACATGACAACCCTATCAGAGACTGAAGTACATCTATGCAGTGATAGGAAAAACCAGAAGGACTGCCAGGAAACTTCATACTGCCACCGAGACAAAGCACGCAAGTGGGAGACCAACAACAAAGCCACCTGCGCCCCATACAAGTACTTACCTAATTGTGCTTGTGGGGGTTGAGCTCTGGCTCTTTGGTCCCGCCTCTCAACTGTCAATCAACAGGTGTACAGGTTCCTGAGCCTACTGGGCTCTATAATATCTACACTTGAAGCTGTGTATGGAGTCAGCCTCGACCACATCACTTCCTAATGCATTCCATTTGTCTACTACTCTGACACTGAACAAAATTCTTTCTAACATCTCTATGGCTCATTTAAGCACTCAATTTCCACTTGTGTCCCCTAGTGCGTGTGCCCCTTGTGTTAAAAAGTCTGTCTTTATCTACCCTATCAATTCCTCTAAGAATCTTGTATGTGGTGATCATGTCCCCTCTAACTCTTCTGTCTCCCAGTGACGTGAGGTTTAATTCCCGTAATCTCTCCTCGTAGCTCATACCCTTCAGTTCTGGTACTAGTCTGGTGACAAACCTTTGAACCTTTTCCAGTTTAGTCTTATGCTTGACTACATATGGACTCCATGCTGGAGCCGCATGCTTGGATTGGCATATAGGATTGGTCTAACATATGTGGTATATAATGTTCTGAAAGATTCCTTACACAAGTTTCTAAAGGTCGTTCTTATGTTAGCCAACCTGGCATATGCCGTTGATGTTATCCTCCTGATATGAGCTTCAGGGGACAGGTCTGGCGTGATATCAACCCTCAGGTCTTTCTCTCTCTCTGACTCTTGCAGGATTTCATCTCCCAAATGATACCTTGTATCTGGTCTCTTGCTCCCTACACCAATCTTCATTACATTACATTTGCTTGGGTTAAACTCTAACAACCATTTGTTCGACCATTCGTACAGCTTGTCCAGGTCTTCTTGAAGCCTCAAGCTGTCCTCCTCTGTCGTAATCCTTCTCATAATTTTGACGTCGTCAGCAAACATTGAGAGGAATGAGTCTATACCCTCTGGGAGATCATTTATGTATATCAGAAACAGGATAGATCCGAGTACAGAGCCCTGTGGGACCTCCACTGGTGACTTCACGCCAATCTGAGGTTTCACCCCTCACTATAACTCTCTGCTTAGGTACTCCCTTATACACTGGAGCACCCTACCAGTTACTCCTGCCTGTTTCTCCAGCTTATGCATCAGCCTTTTATGGGTACTGTGTCAAAGGCTTTCCGACAGTCTAAAAAAATGCAGCCCGCCCATCCTTCTCTTTCTTGCTAAATCTTTGTCACCTGATCGTAGAATTCTATTAAGCCTGTAAGGCAAGATTTACCCTCCCTGAACCCATGTTGATGGGTTGTCACGAAGTCCCTTCTCTCCAGATGTGTTACTAGGTTTTTTCTCACGATCTTCTCCATAACCTTACATGGTATACAAATTAAGGACACTGGCCTGTAGGTTCAGTGCCTCTTGTCTGTCGCCCTTTTTGTATATTGGGACTACATTGGCCGTCTTCCATATTTCTGGTAGGTCTCCCGTCTCCAGTGACCACTATACACTATGGAGAGCGGCAAACAAAGTGCTCCTGCACACTCTTTCAATACCCATGGTGAGATTCCGTCCGGCTCAACTCATCTGCCACCCACCACCTTAGTCTACCATCAGCCACATTCCACATTAGTCTACCATCAGCCATCCACCACCTTAGTCTACCATCTGCCACCCACTTCCTAAGTCTTTCATCTGCCACCCACCTCTTTAGTCTACCATCTGCCACC